CTCGGCCCCTGCGATTTTTCAACGAACAATTGAGCAGGTGCTGCAAGGCCTACCAGGGGTTCAAGCGTACTTAGACGACGTCCTGATAGCAGATGCGAACGATAAGCCAACTGCGAACCTGCAAGCAGTCTTGCAGCGGTTCAGGGAGTACGGCGTGAAGCTCCGCGCGGACAAGTGCCGAATAGGTGAGGAGTCAGTTACGTATCTAGGACACAGAATTGACGCGGCAGGGTTGCACCCGTCAGACAAGAACATCGAAGCAATTAAGCTGGCACCGACTCCTCACAATGTCACGGAATTGCGGTCTTTTTTGGGCATGCTAACTTTCTACAATAAATTCTTGCCTAATCTGTCCACGCTCCTGAGTCCCCTATACCTTCTTCTGGAAAAGAAATCGAAATGGTCTTGGGATGAGCGCGAAAACGATGCCTTCCGAAAAGCAAAAGCCGTTTTGTGTTCCGCGCCTGTGTTAACTCACTTCGATCCCGCACGAGAGCTATTTCTGGAGTGCGACGCGTCACCCTACGGTGTGGGAGCGGCACTATTCCACCGAATTGAAGGACAGTATCAGCCCCTTGGATTTCGATCCAGGACGCTTACTGCCGCAGAAAAGAATTATGCACAGATTGAACGTGAGGCGTTGGCTCTGGTTTATGGCGTCACGCGATTCCGAGATTATCTGCTGGGCAGACAGTTCACGCTTCTAACCGACCATCAACCACTGTTGGGTCTCCTAAGAGCGGATCGTCAGACGCCGGCTATGGCCGCTGCGCGCATTCAGCGTTGGGCCATCATACTTGGTGCCTACCGTTATCGGTTGCAACATCGACCGGGTAAACTCATGTGCAATGCTGATGCTCTTAGCCGTCTACCCCAACCGTTGCAGGAAGAAGTGGACCAGGAGGACGAAGCTCAAGTTCTGACCCTGGACCAGTGGGATCAGCCGGCCCTGCCATGGAAGGAACTCCAGGCACTCGCCGTCGCGGATGAGGTACTTTTCCAGGTACGCAAGTATACCCGGGAAGGTTGGCCGAAAAAACTCGACACGGAAACTACAGAAATTGCCGATTTTTACAAAAGGCGGCATGAGCTGTCTGTTAGTGAAGAACTGCTTTACTGGGGCCATCGCTTTGTAGTGCCGACAGCAGCACGCGGGAAGTTGCTAAGGCTACTGCATGAAGCCCACCAAGGAATTTCCACCATGAAGGCGAAGGCCAGATCGTTATTTTGGTGGCCCGGCGTAGAGCAAGACATCGAGCGCGTTGCGGCGACATGCCAAAACTGTGTGCAAGCGTTGCCGATGGCTCAGGCAAAAGAACCAGTAAATTGGCCCGAGACGCACGAAAGGTGGTCGCGGTTACATGTGGACTATGCGGGACCAGTAAAAGGGAAAATGTTACTCATCGTTGTCGACGCGCACACCAAGTGGATTGAGGCGCTTCCCGTGTCGCAGGCCAACTCGCATAGCACAGTCGAGGCCCTCAGAACGATATTTAGCCGTTTTGGTATACCGCGCACGGTGGTTTCTGACAACGGGACGCCATTCACGGCACGAGAGTTCGAGCAGTTCATGGAGCGCAATGGCATTGCGCATATTCGAACACCTCCCTATCACCCCCAGAGTAATGGACTAGCAGAGCGAGCCGTGCGCACTATCAAAGATGGCTTGAAGAAGATAGGCGGCACTTGCCTCCTCACCTCACTGGCACGTGTATTGTGCAATTATCGGAACGCACCACACCAGGAGGGTCCTTCTCCCTCAGAGAGGCTATTAGGATACCGTCTGCGCACAAGAATGGAGATGTCTTTTCCTTCCAGAGTCTATCCTACCAAAGCTGCGAGTGACCCAGGCTGGAATTTCGCACCGGGAGACTACGTGTACGTGCGAAATTACGGCGCCGGAGACAAGTGGTTCCCAGGCACAGTGGAGGCTACGCGTGGCACTCGCCTCCTGGAGGTAAAGACTGTGGATGGCCTTGTCCGCCGCCACGTGGATCAAGTTCGCAAGCGGAGCCCAGATGAAACGCCAGCAGCCGACGACATGTCGAGGCCATCTACACCGGTTTCCCCAGGGCCGGTACGACTAGAAACAACGGCGCCGGCTACCTCTCAGAGTACCACAGAATCGCAACCATACGTACTACGTCGCTCCACACGAGCCAAGAAACCGGTCGTGCGTTTTGGCTACTAAGGGGGAAGAAATGCTGTAACCCATTGAACGACGCGACCCAAGCTCTCAAGTGCGCATGTGCACAATCTTATCCCCCTTCCCTCTCCCCCTTACTTTCCTATATATATTCACGAGTGTGAATAAAACTGGCCGTTCTTTTCTGTTGGCATGGTCCGACTGTCACGTTTACTGCTGGAGCGGCGTGGCCGCCTCCCACAGTGGCGACGAGAATACCCACCGATACGTGTAAGCCGGGCGCCAGCGGCGAGACCAAGACGAAGACGCCCATCAGCCCGCCCGCAGCCATGGCCCTCAAGCTTCCGGATTTTGCAGAGGAGACAGATAAGTGGCAAGCGTATCTCGTTAAGATTGACGCCTACTTCGAAGCGAACGAAGTTACGGACGACGCGAAGAAAAGGGCCTTGTTGGTGGCTGCGTTAGGATCGAGGACCGTTGAAATCCTTTGCGGCAGAATCGCACCGCAAAAACCAAGCTCGCTGAGTTACGAAGAAGTTGTTTCAACCTTGAACGAGCACTATGATCCGTCCCCTAACGAGATATCAGAAAGCTTCAAGTTCTTTCACCGAAACCAACAAGAAGGGGAGTCCGTGCAGGCGTTTATCGTCGAGATTCGCAAGCTAGCGCATAACTGCAACTTCTCTTCAATGTTGGAGCGAATGCTGAGGGACCGCATCGTTTGTGGAGTGCGCTCGAAAAACCTGCAGAAACAACTATTAGCCAAAAAGGACTTGACGCTGGCAGAAGCGGAAGCACTAGCCTTCAAAAGGGACCAGCCTTCAAAAGTATCCTGGCATATTGGATTCCACATGGCTATCATCCAAGTTGTAGGATCACTTGATATCCCCTGCAGTTCACACTTCTAAATCTTACGACTCAGACTGCCCTGCCAACGCCCCTATCCGCTTTTTGCTCTACCAGCCATGGCCGCCACGTTCCTTCAACCCTTCTCCTCATATCTACTTCTAAACACTTTTCTCCACTCCACCCCTTCCGCCCCCTTAGGCGTTGAGCCGTGCTCCCACAAGGGCTGCAGAAGATAGTGCCTTTTTTCCTTTTCTTCAACCACACATTCATTCATTCGTTCGTTGGTTGATGACTCTATGCAACACACTTCGTGTCTGCGTCACTCGCAGCTACCACTGTCTCTCAAATTGACTACATTCTTAACCAAACCTCTTCTCTCTTCAACTCGGCAGCTTGCCAAACACTACTGTGTAGCTCCTGAAAATTCACCACTCTTTCGTAAGGAAGAATTGGTGTTTATTCCTTTGTTCTGCATTGTATCGCTACAGCCCCAAGTACTCAGTGGATGTACGTGGTTTGAGCACCGAAGTTTGCTTGAGAGAGAGAGAGAGAGAGAATAAGAAAGGTGGGGAGGTTAACCTGGGCTGAGCCCGGTAGGCTACCCTCACGGGTAGCAACTGGGCCGGCGCATAACAGTTTTATGTTTCACCACACAAACGATGAATCACACCAGTGTCCTTGAGGAAACGCAACAGCACTTTTGTTTCCTTTCAGAACCGGGATGAATAGCGCCATGGTCCCGATACCTTCTCGACAGTTTAACAGTGCAGAGGTGAAGCATCGCGTTCGCATATTCTGGGCAATAACACAAAAGGTGCTCAATAGTCTCACTGACAGCACAGTCCTTGCTCTCCATGCTGTTGGCCATCCTAATCTTAAATAAGTAGGCAGTGATAAAAATGTTTGCTTGATGCCACACTACCACACAGGAGTGTCAAAAACAACTACTTTTGCTTGCTTTTTTGCTATTCTTCTAATTTCAATAAAAACACCAATTGCCACAAGAGGGCTCATCAATATCAGGATTGTTTTTTCTTGAAAGTTTAAGGCTTTGTTGCAGTTGGCTCTTGGGGGTGGAGTTAAGTTTGGGATGATGTAGGTAATCCCAAGGGCTCAGATGGCCGCGACGACACGTTGAACTGGACAGGTCCGGTTACTCAGTTTCTGGCAAACTTCAGTTTATTTACACACTGACACTTATTTACAACCGAAGGCCGGGGCGGCCACTAAACCGACCGCACAGTAAGAACTGGGCTTTAATAACGTCGGCGTTACTTTCCAAGCCCTTAGTATACTGCACAAATCGACACCAACTTCTCGATGTAGTATCAAACCCTGGATCAAAGACGGCGCCAAGCACGATTTCTGGCCCCGCTTCCCGATCTCGTACTCAAGTACTAAGCTCCCCTCCTCTCCATTTCACTCCATTAAACCTCCCGTCTCATCTGAGACTGCCTCTTGGGACGAACCCCTTCTTGATGCTCCCGATGCAGCAAGCAACTCTCCTTCCCTCAAAGACCTGTCTCAGCCTCGGCGTTCTCACACTTTGCTATCCTCATCCTCCTAAAAATCGGCTACAGAATAACTCCATCATTTCGTCAAAGTACAGCCTAAAATACTTTTGCACAACAACAAACAAAGTCGTCTGTCTGGAGTTAGTACACACGATGCTGCAGTCTGTCACACTTACCGTGACAGCACGCTGCCACAATATCCTGTCTGGAGCGGTGTCGCGACAGGGACCACTTATTTCTCAGTCTGGCTCACTGTGAGATTGCTTCCGCCGTACGGTTGACTCGCCAGCACGGAGTTCGGCAACAAAGTCACGTGCAGAGGTAAACAGCTGAGTACTTCGTCTGGGCAGCCACTTTTCATTATCTTCCCTTTTCATCAGGCGCCGTTTACCGACTGGCCATCCTTCGCTTGTCCCAAACATAACTGGTGATATAGGCCTTTCCAGGTTGTAGTGTAATCCTCGCACTTGCAGTAACATGAAAATGCAAGGTACAGTCTATCACATTTCCTTTTATTACAATGAATACAATGACATAGTTAAATACAACTCACATGATAATGGTTAGTTGAAACCACTATTCTAGGTATATGTACATTTGCACTAGAATGTTGAACGCAGCACCACAGCTTGGTGCACACTGAAGACGTGCCAATGACAAATGCACTCTCTAGATGCTTAAAAACACACACTAACTTTGGCCTCTAGGACTTGAGCATTCAAGCAAAAAAGCATTGCAGCACCCTGAACTGACCTTAGTGTGTACAGTGAAGAACATTAAACACATAACTGAGCTGCGTAAATACATGCCAAAGGACATTTAAAAATTCAGAGGAAAACACACAGCACATTGATCTTTTACATCACCATCTGGGTACCACCTGCATTTGCAGATTAATTACTTTGGAGTGGTAGCTACAGCTAGGCAAGGCCACCTTATTGTACATACACTGGTTGGCAGATATAATAGATGAAGTTAGCAGCAGGTGCCAAAGAAAACTGAAAGACTGTGCAAGACCGACAGCTTTATCCCGCCAGATATGCTGGATCACAGTGCTTTATATTGCGCAACAGAAACATTTTTACAGTAATACTTCACAGTTACTTTCACAGTACTATGGCCATTCTTAAACAGTCTCTCAACTTAGACAGCTTTAAAAAACAGGTAACGTAGTCTCTCGGCCCATCCTAGTGGCCACATTTGTACGCAACAACCATAATGCGAGATGTGAGCAAACTTGTGCAACCTACAATACAATCTACATTAAAAGTGCAGACAAATAGCATACTTCAACTTTCTAGACTTACCCATATTTCATTCTTTAAAGCTCTAAAATGCAAGCACAAATTGCTACTTATTTCCACATGGTGTATTAACATCCCAATTTGCTCCCTGCTTGCATTTCACAGCACAAGAGCAGTCAAGTTCTACATGATATTGAAAAGCTTTCATGTTGCTAACACACCGACATTAATCCTTCTTTGTGCAGAAACCCAACAACCAAAATAATGGTGTGCTTGAAGGACCGCTCAAATATTGCAAAACTTCAGAATGTTACAATTACTACTGAGACTTCGTCCCCGGCATGGGACGAAGTCTCATGCCGGGCACTAACTTTCGGCACTGCCTCTGGTTAGTGGCACATGCAAGTAGCACAATGCTTACAGCTGTTTTATTGACGGCTGCACTGTGTCAACGCAGTATGTAGAAACATGGAATAGCGCCTAGTCACTTTCTCTATAGAAGTGACATGACTGGTTTAACCCACTCTTTCGGCATGCATGCAAACAGACAGTTTTTATGCCAGTTTTGAACTTTAATGTTACCAATGTTAGCAAGTCATCAATAACTTGCTTTCAATGTTTCTGCATTACTGCTGCTGTCAGCAACTTAGCCCCCAGCCCCATCAACTGCAAACACCTTATGGCTAACATAACATATTGAAAAACAATATAATAAATTGCTAGAGAGTTGTAAGATGTAATCAAGAGCAATCGTTTTCAGTGGTAAATCTAAAAGACATGAAAAGGAGGTCACCTATTTTAACTTTCTCTGCAGCATGAGAACATAGCACCAATATGAATCTACAAATGAAAAACACAACCGCTACACACAACCGCTACACACAACCAACAAGTTGAAGTTACCTTACGTAGTTGTGAGGAGAGCCCAGGTTCACTTTTTAGTTTTTTGTTACTTGGTAAATTCACTGCAGCGTGTTGAACTCCACAGCAAGTCAGAGGCGTTCACAGAAGCCCGTCGTTCTCAAAAAACACAAGAGGGCTTCCACTGCCTTGTGGCCTGTTTGTGGGCTTTCACTGCTTTATGGGCTGTTTGTATGTATTTTGCTATAAAGTTGATTGTGCACTAACTTGCCCAGCTTTCATTTTTTGCTCTCACTTTTGTCTTACAGCATCAGCAAATATACGGCAAACATTTTGCACCTGTCCTTAGTGTTGCTTCTACTCACAATCACAGACTTCGTCCTCAGAAACTCTACAAATGCAACTTATACTACCAGAATAGTTCAATGTATTGACTGTTGGTTCCATCACAGATTATCATGTGTAAGTGCTAGCTTTTGGGAGTGCACAATGCAAAATATCTGGAAGGAAAATTTTCCTCTGCATACAACTTTCAACTTGGCACAACCTCAAAAATCTCCCACACAATACACGCTAGTGCAGCAAAGTACTGGTGGACCATTTTTACAATTTACAAACAAGCTGCTAGGTTAAATAAGGACTCTGCCTATGTCAGTCACAAGTGTGTCACAATACTAAATTTGCATCAATCATCCTGACCTCCAAGAGCCAGCACACAGCTTGGCTCCAGCTTTTAATAAAAGCCAGCAGAGTACACTTTTCACAAATTCAGAGTACACCCGGAGTGGAAACATTTGAAGCTATTTACACAAAATTTTCGCATTTAGCTAATCTTCGAAAAGACACTTTCACTACATTGCCAGCCACCACGCAAACAGGCAAAATGTCTTTAGTAGATCGGCCTAAAGAGCCAACCCATGGCAACAGCCAATATCAGCAACGAGTGTAACCTGACAGCACCACAATAGACATGCTTTGAACATATAGTACCGACAAAGCTTGTGCATGTTCTTTTATTTGTTCAGAACTCATGCCTGACATGGCAAAAGATTGGATACCCAATTTTCATAAGAACACACTGAGTAAGAGACGACGACGTATGCGGATACACAAGTGCAAACTTCTGGTTTTCGAGTAGCTCCTATGGAAAATTCCACCCTCGTCGCCATTCCACAACCCACACTGACCAGTGGAGCAAAATGCTGGAATAAGTCTGTCAGCAAGAGACTATGTGGCTGGCTCGAGGGTATTTCCAATGTCAGCAATGAGCATAAACAGCCGCTCAGTGATGTCAGGTTTGCCCCAGATGTTCTTCCAGCCAGCAGTTCTTTGCACAGCCACCAGATGGTCTGCAATAAAACGAGCAATGCTACGCGACAGCTCGGCATCGCTGTACATGTTCGAGAGGACAAACGCATCTGCTGCCCTCTCTACAGTCAAGTTTGAACCCAAGTAGTCCCCACAGAGAGTCTTCAGTTCACTCATTGAGTACTTGTCTGCAGCCACATACAAGTCTTCGGCAACCTTGTCCAGATTCGGAACCTCACCAGTGTAGATAAAGAGCAGCATCTCACGCATGGCATCGAAGGATTGGTCCGGCAGGTGGATTACCTGTCGAAATAATATAGATGTGTGTTACTAAAGCAATTGAAGTGAACAACACGTTGATATTTTTAATAAGGCTATAAGAGGGACTGAATAGTCTTTCTTGTGCGGGTAGGTTAAAAAAATATTCAAGTCTTTTGAATACCGATTGACGTAAACGTAAGAAAAATGTGAATGAAAACAGAGCTGATACGGACAAGCGTTGCAGACAGTGTGTGTCACGGACAGCTTATGTCCATGTCAGCTCTCTTTTCACCCGTCTGAGTTTTTCCCGTGCTGTTGAAATTTTGAGGGGATGCTGATCAAAATACAAAGCGAATGCACAAAACTACCAACTGACGTTTGCTCTTCTGACAAGGTACAGTTCACAACACGGTGGTCTCTTGTAACCTATCTTTGCTCCCTCTTATAAAGCGTGTGGCTTTATGTGCCTCCCTACTTAGTCCATATGGGAGTCCTGCAGCAGCTATTTATTTATTTATTTATTTATTTATTATTTATTTATTTAATAACACCCTGCAGACCAATGGCATTATGGAGGAAATTAAGCATGATTTTTTTACTCATACAATGTTAGCTGAATATAAACGTGTTGTACAAAAAGACAATTCAAGTTGGTTTGCTTATCTACATAATGGTAGCTGGTAAACAACTGATGATCGATGATGGCTGCCACAGGTCTGGAAAGGTGGTTCCAGTCTGCAGATGTTCTGGGCACAAACGAGTCACTCCAAGTTTTTGTTAGACATGTAAAGAGGTTTATTGGGCGAGCCCAACAAATAGGCGGACGCTTAGAAATAGCCACAGGAAGAGAAAGATGGTGGTGCTCGAGCACTGATCTCGTGGTTCCTTCTTCTCATGGTGATGATCGTTATTCCCGGTTGTCTTTCTTTCTTTCTTCCTTATATTTGCCCCCATCAAGAAAGATGAAGCCATGCTGGTGATGTAGCAGGTAAGAACAATCGGGTCAAAGTACGGCTTGAGGCTATCTACGAGAACGATATCACACTTACACCGACGACGGTCGCTCGGCGGCATAAGAGTTTCAATGGCGTAGTTGACTGGTGAAGTATGCTTGACCACACGGTATGGATCGTGATAGTTTGAGAGTAGTTTGGGTAACAAGGAGCGCAGGGTGGTATATGCAGCCATACAAGTGTTCCAGACGCGAATTTTTTCGCAAGGGGGTGGTCGTGATCTAGGGCCTCTTTCTGGCGTTGTTGGTCGGTTGTAGTAAGCTGCTTGGCTAGCCAGAGGCATTCTTCAATGTGACGGGCAGCTTTAGAAACGGTTGTGCACTCAGATGCATCCGGTGTGCATGGCAGCAAGGTGTCGATAGTGCGGGAGAGCTGGCGACCGTACAGAAGGAAGAAAGGGGAAAATCCCGTTGTGACTAGCGCCGCTGTGTTGTATGCGCAGGTTGCAAATGAAAGAACAAGGTGCCAGTTTGATTGATCGGATGCAACATGTGCGTCGCAACCATGTCGACCAGGGTATGATTAAAACGCTCAGTCAAACCGTTTGTATGAGGGTGGTAGGCAGTACTCGTCCAACGTACAATATGGCACTGATAGAGAAGTGCTTTAATGACGTCATAGAGAAATACATGGGCACAATCACTGAGAAGTTTGCCAGGAGGTCCGTGACAGAGCACAAAATGACTGAGGACGAAAGATGCGACGTCCTGTGCTGTCACCGTGGGAAGAGCAGCAGGTTCAGCGTACCGGGTAAAATGGTACACAGCAATGATAGCCCATCGGTTGCCAGACGTAGTCAATGGCAGTGGCCCATAAAGGTCTATTCCGATGCGATCAAATGGGCGGTCTGCGCATGAAAGCTGCTGTAGCAAACCCGCTGCAGGATGCGGTGGTCTTTCCGTCACTGACATTCTTGGCAGCCTCGAATGAACTGACGAATGAAGGTAAACATTCCACGCCAGTAATATCTCTTCCACAAGCATTGAAGAGACCGGCCTGAGCACATTGTGGGTCGGTGTGAAAGGACGTGCAGATTGTAGAACGCAGTGTTCAGGAAATAACGTGGAGCCACTTTCTGCCATCTGGTGAGTAATTGCGCCGGTACAAGAGGACATCTCAAATGCTGAGGTGCGAATGCTGAGGTGCGAACCCTGGTGTTGCAGTGCTCGAGTGGTCGGAAGGGCGGGTGCTTCAGATAAAACACCAAGAAGTAAAGCCGTTTATGGATTGTTGCGCTGTGCAGAGGGGACGGTATCAACGTCAAGAGCTGACACAATGTGATCTACACAAGAGATGAATGTTGTCTCAGTTGACAGTGAGGACCGCAACAGTGCATCAGCATAAGTGTGCTTGCGGTCAAAATGGTGGACAACGAAGATGTCATACTCCTGAAGTCAGAGAGCCCAACGAGCAAGGTGACCTGATGGATCATTATGCAAAAACAACCAACATAACGCATGATGGTGAACGAGCAAGGTGACCTGATGGATCATTATGCAAAAACAAGCCAACATAACGCATGGTGGTCTGTAACTACATTAATGTGCAGCCATATACGTAGGGGCAGAACTCGGCAAGCGCCCAAATTATGGCCAAGCATTCTTTTTCGATAACAGCGTTCTGCTGGAGTATATGCGACAACATACTCTGGGAACCTAGGCTTTTGTTGTGTGGGAACCGTGCCGCGGCCGACACCTGTATGAACTTCCGTTGCAGCCGATGGGTCGTACTGGCACAATATGGGAGGTGACATCAAGAGACAGCGAAGAGTAGAGAATGCTTGACTACACTCGGAAGACCATGAAGATATATCAGTGGCGCTCCTTAAAATTTGAGTCAAAGGCGCAATTACAGAGGCAGTGTTGCGCACAATGCGCCGAAAGTAGAAGCATAAGCCTACAAGGCCCCGCAACTGCTTTACAGTCGTGCGCTTGAGAAAGTCAGCAACAGCTCGTAGTTTTGCCAGGACTGATAGTATGCCATCCCTTGATAGCAAGTGATCGAGAATCGTAAGTTCCCGGGCCGCAAAGTGGCATTCCGTAAGATTCAGTTGGAGCTGAGCATTCTTCGGACATATTAGAACATGTTTCGTGCGGAAGATGTGTTGCAAAATCTGGCACAAAAACAATTATATTGTCGAGGTAGCATGAACATATGTTCCATTTTAAACCGCGCAGAACTGAGTCCATCATGTGCCCAAAGGTAGCCGGCGCACTTCAGAGGCCAAAAGGCATGACATGAATTCATATAGCCCATCTGGTGTTACAAAGATTGTCTTTGGGCGATCAGCATTGGCTAAAGGTACCTGCCAATACCCCGAGTGCAAACCTAAGGATGAAAACACCTCATGGCCTTGTAAACAATCAAGGGTGTCATCAATCCTAGGCAGAGGGTACACGTCTGTAGCGAGAGAGCCACTTTAGAGAGCCACTTTAGAGAGAGCCACTTTAGAGAGAGCCACTTTATTATCCAGGGCGATTGCCGAAGCGGAGCAGTGGCAGCTGCCACGTCCAAACCGCCAGGCACGTGAGCTCGTTCTCTACAGCTCGCGACCTCGAGCTGTCGCATCAGCTGCATGAGAGGCGCAGCGCGATGGCTAGAAAAATGACGATGATGATGAATGGCGATGATGATGACACTACACGTCTTTCCGAGTGACATTATTTAAGTGCCAGTAATCAATGCGAAGCATTGATTACTGGCACTTAAAGAAGCAAATCAGATTATCCTTCTTTATCATTATAAACACCAGTGATGCCCACAGACTTTGTGAACGTTGAATCACGCTGCGTTTGAGCATATCGTCAACATATTCAGCAATAACTTGACGTTCAGCGGCGAAGACATGGTATGATCGTTGTTGCACAGGGATGTTGGAGCCTGTGGTGATGTAGTGAACAATAGTATAAGTTTGGCCGAAGGAAGGTCAAGCAATATCGAAAGATTCACGGAAGTGGTACAGCAGTTCAAGAAGAACAGAGCAATCAGATGGTAACAGTCTATCAGCGATCAATGAATCGAAGAGCTCGGAAGGTGGTACATAAGAAGGGCTGAGGGCACTGATGACGTCTGGGTCACTGGAAGATAAGTTTTGCTGCATGATAAATATTTCTCCATTGTAAATGGCCTGCACACATCCAAAAGATTCACCTCTTGAATGGGATAAAGAATTGGATACAGAAGAGGATTGGTTAGGCAGAGTGAGCTGTTTTCTTGAGACATGGAGAGGGTCGAATGAGGCAGAAGAAGAGGCTTTTGACTAAGGGAGATTCTTGATTGTTCAAAGAATGCAGCTTCATCACAAATACTGTTGCAGAACACGGGGAGCAAAACAGCTACTGTCGGCAGAATTTCAGTATCTTCCTTGACGACCAGCTTGTGTGCAGCTTGCTGAAAATGGATGGGGGGCTGGTCGCAGAATGGCAGGAGTTCAAGTTCAGATCTGGCAAAATCGATAACAGCGCAATTACGTGATAGGAAATCTCAGCCAAGTATGACATTGTGCGAGGAGGATGGAAGGACAATAAACTCAACAGCATAGTGGCTGGTCACGATGGTCAGTCGGGCAGTGCAGGCGGCTGGCTATAGGCCAAACAGGCTTTGCATTCACTGTACGCAAGGACATCGTATCAAAAGGTGTGGCCACTTTTGGGAGCTTGCGGCAAAGTTTGGCATCCATAATGGAAACGGGAAGCTCCGGTATCAACAAAGACATATGCAGGGACGCCTTCCACAAAAACTTCTACAGTATTTGATGGCAGAGTTTCAGGACTTGAGCATTTCGGCAACGCAGTTCTTGCCTCAGGAACTGCGACTGCTAGTTTCCCTCATTTTCAAGAGCTTGCTGACGTTGCGTCGGGTGACATGGAGTGGTGACAGGGTGGAGGTGAGCAACCACACATAGGTTGCAGATAGTCACGTGAAGACTTGCTTGATTGAAGATTCGAGTTTTCATAACGAGATGGTGGATGGTCCATGTAGTTATTCTTCAAGTAGGGGTCTGTGTATCTTGGCACACAACGATGGCAGTATTTGGCGATATGGCCAGGGACGCTGCATACAAAACAGATTGCCCGCATATCGCGCATTTGTCAGGCATCTGCAGTGGGGGGAGCAGCTAGCCCATGTGGCGAATAGCTGAGTTGAGGCTGCGGTAGAAATGGGAGGAGTCCAAGTGGTGGACGGCTGAGTCGGGGGTGTGGTATGCCACATTTCATGGAACAGCAAGGATTGGTGTGACTGCAGCCGCTTTACTGCCTCAGCGTAAGTAAGAGGCTTGGTGACAGGGTGCTGCTAAAACGGCACTGGTATGGCCTTGGAAATCTGCTTTTGGAACACATGTCGAAACATGGGGGCCAATGGGGTTGGGTGGGGTGCCCCAGCGGCTGCTGCCGCGAGAGCTCCTGGTGCTGAGCAAAACAGTAGAGAAAGCTGCCAAGGCACTTCATCTCGTACGAAGTTTTTCATTTGTATAAGAAGGTACAACTGGTCAGGCATGATGTCCAGCGTAGTGACTGGTTGGATCGTCTGGAATGAACGTCACATGAGAGCTCATTGCCTCCTCAGTTCGCCATAGCTCTGACACAATGTCGCTACTTCAGCCACAGCGCTGGGGGTCTTCGCGAGGAGCATCTGAAAAACGACGCCCTTCGTAATGCGCTGTATCTTGGCATTTTCGTTTCGCTCATGGAGGCATCGACACGCCAGGCAGAGATCAATTATGTCTTCAATATGGGCAGTGAAAGTTTCACCTGGTTTTTGTGCCCCTGTGTGTATACGTTCAGTACGTAACTTTTGTAAGGCAGGACGACCGAAAACAGCGGATATCGCCTCCTTCAAAGTGAACCAGTTCGCAAACTTGGTTTTGCTATTCATATACCACATTTAGCCATGTTGGTGAGATAAAAGTTTACAGTGCCTAACTTAGCAGCGTCATCTCACCTGTTGGGTTGACTGACTTTTTCGTAGGACAACAGCCAGTCCTCGACATACCGGTCTTCGGTGCCCGCAAATATTGTGGTGTCTCACAGCTGTTGAACCAGGCCAGGGCATGCCACGGCCACGAGAGGTAGTGTCTGTTGAGCAGCGTGAACTTGCATGGTCGACGGCAAGATGCGGGATCAGAGCTCCAGGGTGTAGGCAATGTGGGTACCCAGCACAATTTACCAAATGTAAAGAGGTTTATTGGGCGAGCCTAACGAACAGGCGGTCAGTCAGAAATAGTCACAGGACAAGGAAGATAATGGTACTCGAGCACCGATATGGTGGTTCCTGTCTCTTGTGGTGATGATCACCGTTCCCGGTTGTCGTCTTCCTTTCCTCATTAAAGATATGACACCAACTTTATTACAATGATCTGTTCTAGCCGATACGTAAGAAGGGGGAAAAATCAGTGTCCCGAAGAGTTGGAATGTGATGATAGATTTTATGGCATAAACACAGGTGTAAAAGCCTACGAGATAAGGGAAAAGGCAGCTCGAGTGAGTTCTTGATGGCAGTGATGCTAGTATGATGACGGATGTAGAATGAAGCAAGCAGAATTGTTCTGTATTAGTTTCGAGAGCATTCATTACATTAGCTGTACTAGGGTGCCATAATGCAACGGCATATTCTAGCTTGCTAAGAATTAGTACCTTGTACATTAAGAGTTTAAAGGAGATGGGGGTGGAGGTGAAATTGCGGCAAATGTACCCAAGCATGGGGTTTGCATTAGTAATGGAACCAATGTGGAGCAACCAGCTTACACATGTGGTGGTGTGTACACCCAGATAATGCGATGAGCACGATCAGCAGCCACACACATGGAAGTTTTTTTTTTCTTCGTGTTAACGGGATCTGTACATTTTGTTGCACAAAATGAATTCTGAAAGAATTCGTGTCAAGGAGAGAGAAGTAGCATGTTTGAGCAGAGGGACGTAAGAAGGGGGAAAAATCAAGTAACTAGGTAACAGAAGATGATATTTGAGAAACACTCAAAGCTTTATATTCCGTGGCACTTAGATCTACTTGCCAGCTTGTGCACCAGTTAAAAATGGAGTCGACGTCCTTTTGAAGGTTGTTGACATCGTTTAGGCTGTTAATTTCACAGAAACGTACAAGGACACTGGAAATGATGAATGATTGCTAAAAACGACTGACTAATTCTTTTATTTAGATGTTGAAAATATGCTACTTTTTGAATGCCCCCTTCCAGTATTTCCATATTTCGCCTCCGTAAATACATTGTACAGTGGTGCTCCCACTCACGGAGTGAATAGAGTATAAAGCTGGGCATGTTGGTAAGACATAATTAATCAACGTAGCGCGTTTAGAAACATAGGACAAGGGAAGGGACAGAAGTGCTCCCTTCTGTCCCTTCCCTTGTCCTATGTTTCTAAACGCGCTACGTCGATTAATCACGGAGTGAACTTCATCTGGCACTCTGGTTCTTTCAGTCTACCAATCATTTGCCAACAACCTGTGCAGCACAAACGTTCAAAGACAGGATTTCCAGCCCTGTTTGCCCGCTCAACTGAATGCCCTCTTTTTTTTTTCTAACACACACATCACTTATCTGATAGCATCACATGTACGTGCTGTCAATTCATGTTGACGACCGGTGAGGGCTGCTGGTAATTTTGTCCTTTTATGTATACTGCGAATCAACATCAAGTAATAGCCCTTGTAGCTTTGATTGATTGATATGTGGGGTTTAACGTCCTAAAACCACTCCCTTGTAGCTTTTACTCGCCAAGAATGCATATATTGCTAAGATAATCAATGCTGTCGCTGCAACAAGCTCAACTGGGTAGACATAGCACTGGTTGTATTCAAATGCATGTGCCTCTAGTTAGGGTGCCACTGATTTGATTTGATATGTGGTGTCTAACGTCATAAAACCACCATATGATTATGAGAAATGCCGTAGTGGAGGGCTCCAGAATTTTCTACCACCTAGGGTTCTTTAACATGCACCCAAATCTGAGCCCAAGGGCTTTACAGCATTTTCATCTGCATCGAAAACGCAGCCGCCGGAGCTGAAATTTTATCCCGCAACCTGCAGGTACTTTGGGTGACACTCCACTCATGAGATAGTTTTTAACTTTTATACACTATAAACACTAGTGTAACACATCTCATGCATAAGTTTGCTTGGAGCTAGGAAACTGATGATAACAGACTGTATAGTTTCCTTTGTGCATAGGCTAAATGCCAACGCACCACTCTGTTTTATTTTAGGGCACTTCAACGAGGCTTCCTCAAAAAGAATATTCAAATGTCAATTCATTTCAACACACTTTCAAGGATGGATATTTTATGATAAATCAGCCTCACGATTTACACTAAACACACAATTTTATCACCGCGTGGCTTTTACAGTAACAAAATGTGGTCTACACTGTTTTTTTTTAATAGCAGAACTACTGTTAACACCGGTCAAATTGCTATTCTACAAATGCACACCTCTTGAATTAGTCCATTAGCCATGAAAACACATCAGAAACATGGCCAGTAATAAAGAAACAAACCAAAGCAAAAAAAAAAACTATTACTTCAAAGAACATTGCTCATCAAAAATCAAAAATGCCAAGCACCAGCATTGAGCCAATTAACTATAAGCACTGAAATACTCTCAATGTTTTATTCCTCTATTATACCATTAATGGAATGGCACAACAGAGGTGCTTTTCTAAGACTTCTATAGACATTTATGATTCTGGCAGTACTGCTGGTAGCCCATGTGTACACATATTTCATGCACACCGAAGAAGGAAGCTTCTCAAACTGCAATTCAGATCAGTCAAAGGTCCCCAAGCAATTCTGGGTCTAAAAAACCTGTTCACACAGAGACAGCTGCGTAACAATCTACAAAAATACAGCCACATTTCTTTTAAATGATGCCATGATAAAGCTACAGGCAACAATTATTAGCCACAAAGTTTCATTTCCCTCTGCTCAAAGATGCTACTTCTCTCTCCTTGACACGAATTCTTGCAGAATTCATTTTGTGCAACAAAATATACAGACCCCGTTAACACGAAGAAAAAAAGACTTCCACGTGTGTGGCTGCTGATCGTGCTCATTGCAGTTTCACTTGAAGGGAAGCTTTGCAAAAGCTTTATTGAATGCACTAGGGAAACCTCCCACCAGGCAGTGAAAACATATGGCTGTCATTTTTCTGCTTTTGTACGTACGCCACGACCCGACTAATCAATATTTATCCTGCTGACATGTTGTAGATCACCATAGCTTTGTTGCTTAAACAGAGTGAAAAAGACTGCAATAAAGAACCTGCTAGCCTCCTGAACTTGTCGGTTTCCAAAGCAACCACCACTGTCTCGTAGACCAAAAATGATTATCAAAGCATTTCATTTAAGATGCATGCATTGATTTCAGTTTTGGTCAAAATGTTAGAGGAAACTTGGAGCCTCAAGTTTCCACATCCTAGTGCTTTTCCAGTTGGTCTATATTTACTAATTTTCTGAGACTGATGATTATTTTCTTTTTGTCGTACTTCCAGAGCTTTACGCCACCATACACTGCTAAAAAGTGCAAGTGAAGGACTCCAAGGAAGACAGCGAGTTCAATAAGCAGAGAAATTTACAGCTTCTCATACCGGTTTCATTACTGTGCAGGGTTGAACATTTCATTTCAACACGATTTCCATCACAACATTTCACCACAGTAGAAAGTACGGATGTGAAAGCAATAAAGTGTGCCCAGAGAATTTACATGGGTTGCTCTCAGTGACTCGACAGCCCACATTCCGTTCAAAACTACCACAGCTGGATTGTCGAAGTGTACCTGCGCATGTGAGTGCTTACCTGCTCTTGGGACTCCTTGGTGGGATGCGAGAACATGGCACCGAACACAGGCGATGAAAGCATCAAGACATCGCGATGGGCATACAGGTTCCGCTGCTGCACCGTCAGCTGCACGTTGCCAAAGCTCTTGTCCTCCAGCAGGCCCGCCAAGTTCTTGAGTAGCGGGCTGACAGGGATGTCCGTACGCTTGATGGGCGTGTTGGTGCTGTCTGCGAGGAACTCCACCTCGAACAGAATGCTGAGGGCATCGCCGTGGATGCACTTATTCTCGCGGTTGTAGAGAAACGCCTTGCAGAGCTCAATGCCCAGGTAGTTTGTGCTGCCGCGGTAGAGCGTATGGAAGCCGTTGTGGAAGTACCGCTGCACGGGCCGTCCCGCCTCGCCGAGAAGCGTCAGCGTGTACACACAGTTGCGCCCCTGCATCCCATGGAAGGGCACCACACAGATGGATGCATAGTCCTTTGTCAGATCCAACCGAAGCTTGAGGCGCACCTGGAAACAATGAGCCAAGGTTTTTAAATTTACATGACACACTAACACCCAAAAAACAGCTTGCCATCTATCAGCCTATATGCCCAAGTATCACACTAACTGCAGGCATGTGCCAGAGCTACGAAAGTTTGCCCATGAGCACCTCTGTGTGTACAAAGATGCAGTGAAACATGTTAGCCTCATTCACTAGATCTTCACCAGCTTGAAGAAAAATGAAGTGCCTCCAGCAGACACACGTCAGATGAAGATCACAACATCGAGGTCCTTGCAGCCAAATTCACGTGTTTATGTGGACCACTGCAACACCCTAAATTCAGCTGTACGACCCATAATCGCATTCCTCTCTGCACAATGCACACCAAAGCAACCAACCTGGTGAAGCTATCTCATGAAAGCTATGTCAAGTCCTTAGAATGTGATCATTATGATCCCTGCCATGACCCTTCATTCATTTCTGTTTATTTGAGGACAAAAAGGTCTCCCAACAATCTCCAATTATTCTGGTCTTGCATGAGTAGAATTCCATTTTACACCTGTAAACATTTACATTTTGTCACACTACTGAACTTTCTGCTATCCATGACTGCACTTCCTGTCTTTTCGGCACCTATTCCGTAAATCTGGGATCATCAGCTATCTACACTACACAATGCATGGATTAGCAAGCTCAATTTTTTTTCTCCATGTAAACAATACGAATTACACTTGCTTGCTCTAAAATGCAGCAGTCCTCCTGTCAATGTTGAACCTGACATTACTCACTCCATTATCCAATGAGCAAACCTTAAAGGGCCCTACAACACTTTGTCATCTAATCCACAAAGAATCTCGCTGCTTGAGCCTACAATTTCCGAAATCGACTGCTGTGTAAATGCTTCGAATGTGTCAAGTACAACTGTAGCTGCAGAATTTTGTCGCGGGATCCGAACCATATTTTTTTTTTCTCTTCTTTCATCCCAACAAGCAGAGTGAGACCTACGTAGGGAGGGGTGGAACGAAGACAAGAAAGTACTTCAGCATGTCATGACCGCGAGCATTTTCCCACTCTTTCACTGTGCTTTCATACTTCTAGTATAATTATCCTCTTCAGATGTTAATTATGATCCACTGTCTACAAATGCGTCAAATTTGCATGGCATGATTTTAAGCCACTCAGTATTGCATTCCAAGAAGACGAAGGAATGTCTTGTTTTCTGCAAGTTTCAGTAATTAATTAGCATGGAATTAAGTATCTAATTATTATTTATTCAATCAGCATCAATTCTTGCATAAAAAAATGATTTAGGGCAGAATGCAAGCACAGTTTGTTTTTTTTTCATTCATTTTAAGCAAAGAACAAAAAGTACTCGTGACATGGGTCCTAGAACACAGCATGTCAACTGGTCATCGAACATGGTCGTGCCACCAGCTAAGTGATCCTCCGCAGCATTACGTAGCATAAATAATCTAAATTACCGATGTTTGTCCCCTCAGGAAGCCTGCATAAATGAGCACACCACGTTTCAAGCCATTTGAATAAACACATGGTGCGTGACGTGCCTCTAAATTTGACGAGTACAATTTTAAACTTGCTGCGGAAGGGGATAATGAAGAGCATGCTTCCTGCCCCGGCGGTTACGCTGTAGTTGCTAAGGTTACAATGCAACACTTCAAGCACTATAGTATGTAAAAATCTGTGTTTTGCATTGGTATGTATTGTCATAATAAGGGTTCAGTACAAGACAAGAGACTCACTAGGGCATTTTTTGCATTTCGAATAGCATGGTTGTAGGTATGAACATGGGAGAAAAAACATCGAAGCGTTGTTGTGGCACCTCAGATATGTGCAGTAATTACTTTTTAATTGACAATCGCACAACTATGAACGCTAAACCTTGAGCAATATTGGTGGGCCCTGCGGATGGGGTGGGCCGTTTGGTGCCGTTTGAGGTATCGTTAGGGCGGATAAACAGACAAATGTACAGACAGACAGACCAAAAATTTTTTTTTTTTTAAATATAAGCAGGCTGCTGATTGACATGGAAATACCAGGACTGTATCAGTAACCTCTGAAATTACATGATGTATGGCAACCAGTCTGGCAATGCACTCAAGCACCTCCACCTGGAGGTTTCTCTGCTCCACAGGCAGAGTGCAACTACTACATGGTATGTCACAGTCACAGTGTAAGATACAAACACTTAAGGTGGGGACACTCGCGAGACACAATCGACCAGATAAAGTAACAGCTGATGGTATGTAGGACACTCGTACCAACAAGCTGGATATGCTAAGCGCGCGAACAACGTGGGAGGATGCACATTCTTTTGATGACGAGCAGAGCAGAACTTGAATAAAACCACGTGACTGCTCATAAAAAGAGAAGCAACGACTTGGATACCTCAACCAATTTGTTGGAGTGCATTACACAGATTACATAGTTGCACCAAATTCTATTTTCGCGGCTCTAATGATAACTATACGGCGAAAAATTCATGACCGTGTGATTACTCCCTGGGAGACAAGTTTACAGGAGACCCTGTGCCTATCTTCTCGCTGATTTTACCATCCCTTCTTATCGTGCACGAAAACAGCATTACAGTATTTTTCTTTTTTGCATTAAACAATCAGCTGACCTTTTTAGGAATGCCACTGGAAACTTGCTCACAAAAAGCAGTGAATGCACAGCGTAATGCAGTAAAAAAAAAAACTTACGTCTGTAACAGAAAAAAGTCTATTAATTACACGTATTATTGTGTTGCATAAACATAAAACAAATGGTCATGCAGCGAAAATTGTTCATTCACATCCATGACGAATCATCTCATTAGTCAAGTGTTTGCTGCAGACTGCATCCTTTGTGCTGAGCGGTCGGTTCTCCCTGGAAACCGCTTGAGTGCATGCTTTGAGACGTTTGGGATCAGAAGGAACATTGGATAATACTACCTTTTTTTGGCACGTAGGGTAACCTGACCGGCAATGACTAACGAAGCACTTTGTTCCCATATTCACTCACTGTGTAAACGTCTTCTTTCAGCAGATTTCATTCATGGCTGCTCACCACATTACAAGTTCATTTCACAAACAGGAATGATGAAACGCCACTTTATAGGGAGTTTTAGAATAACTTTTGCAGGCGCTGCGGCACCATATGAGTTTTAGAATAACATTTGCCCCTCCTAGGGAACAATGTAAGGACTTCAGCTGGTCTGCAAACTCAAATGCACGGAAACTTCAGATAGCCTCGACACCAACACTTCGCGGGCCTCACGGGCCGTGATCGCCGCACGCTATTTCGGATTTTCTGCGGGTGGGCAGCGAACGCGAACATTGGCTCACGTACGACGCATGCGCAGTGGCAGCGACCGCACCGCAAGGGCTCACGGTGCTCTATTCTAAAGCTCCCTATCACTTCATGAAACGCGCCAAAGGCACGCTAGTGACTGAAGCGGCCGAATGGATGGATGGATGGATGAAAAACTTTTATTGGGGTCCTGAAGGATTCCACCCCCGTTTTATAGGGGTATGATCGCGGGCCGCTCTCACGTTGGGACGGGGAGGCCCAGCCTCACCGCTGCATCGTGGGCATTCGGACAGCCTTGAGTGGTTGTATGAGAACCGGACTCGTGAGCATTAACTGAAAGGAGTTCTTAGAAAATTCTTCATTTTTTCTTTGTAAAAAGGGGCACCTCCAGAGCATGTGGTTAAAATCACTGCGATTCTGGCAGTCCGGACAAAGTTCTGAAATATCGGAGTAATGGCTATAGGTTACGAGGCTAGGGTATGTTCCCATCTTAAGCATGCGAAGAGAGATTGCCTGCGGCCTAGACAACTTTTCGTGTGGCAATGGAAAGGACCTACGGCCTAATTGATAATGCTTCATGATCTCGTTGAAGGTAGTCAAAATGTCCCTAAAATGAAGGCTGGGGGAAGACTCCTCTGTCTGAGAAGCACAAGTCCCGGCGCGGTAAGTGAAGCCTCGTGCCTTGGAGTGGGCTAGCTCGTTGACATTGGGAAGGCCTCCGACCCTCAAGCCAAGGTGAGCAGGGAACCAAATAATTGTGTGGTGGGTGAGTTCCTTGTGAGCGAGAATTCTCAAAACTTCCTTGCACATGGAACCAGAAGCGAAGGCCCTAGCAGCGGATTTAGAGTCCGTATAAATATCAGTCCTTTGTGGATCAAGGAGTGCCAGTGCAATGGCCATCTGTTCTGCTTTGTAAAGAAGTGGTTCGAACCGACGCCAAGGATAAAATCTGACTCTTAGTATCTACGGATACTACCGCAAAGCGAGTGGAAACGCCAAACTGGGCGGCATCAACAAAGCATGAAACAGACGAGTGTTTGTGAGCTTGAGCTAAAAGAGAGGAGGCTCGAGCGACACGCCTGCCCGCGTTGTACTGTGGATGCATATTTCGTGGAAGGGGGCATACTTTGATGCGAGAGCGTATATCATCATCGAGTGGCGTATTTTGCACTTAGAGCATCAGGGGGTTGACTCCAGTGTCAACCAGAATCTTTCTCCCCGCTGGTGTGATCGAAAGCCTGGCAACCTGTGCCGTTTGTTGAGCTTCGATAACTTCTTCAAGCGTGTTGTGGACTCCAAGTTTCATGGGGTTCTCAGTGCTTGTGCGCATAGGAATGCCAAGAACTTTCTTGATGCTTTTCCTTATGAGGATGTTCAATTTATTTGTTTCATGGAGTTGCCACCTGTGCATAGATGCGACATAGCTTATGTGGCTCATCAAGAATGCATGGAATAGTCTGAGGAGGTTGTGCTCTCGAAGACCACCCCGACTGTTGGAAATGCGTGAGATTAGTCGGATGACCCCTTCCGCCTTAGAAGTCAGACGGTCGATCGTGCGGCCGTTCTGTCCATTAGTCTCGATAATCATGCCCAGAACGCGTATGAAGTCCACCCTTGGAATACGCTGCCCCGATGCCGTGTGCAGCCTAATGTCGATGTCAGCCAGTGGTAGCCAGTTTTTGGGTTTGAGTCCCCGTCTCGTGGGTCGATATAAGAG